TGAGCATTAAATTTATTTAAAATAGTAACAAAGCTAGGTGTGGTGGTTTAAACCAATAATCCCAGCACCAAAGAGACTGAGGCAGGAGGATGGCCATGAGGTCAACGCCAGCCTAAACTACAAGGTGTGACCTGTCTTAAAAGAACCAAACAAAGCAAGTGAAATAGAATGTTTCCATTCTTTAACGGAAATTGAAGTTCAAATGAACCAATGATGCAAGCATATACCTTGAAGTGTATTTAAACCTACTCCTCCAAATGATGGAAAATCAGAAACTTTAACAATGAGTCATTTTCATGTGAAATATTATGGAGGGCTACAAGTAATGCTCTGTAGTCAAGCCACTGTCTAGTGTGTGCAAAGCCCTGGGTCTGATCTCCAACACTGCATGGGGCCTAAGGGGGGATGACATATTGAGAACAAGTGTGCTACAGCTTGTAGTTAGATGTAGCCCTCAAAGCCTTATGGAGTCATACATGGGACTTTAAGGACATGGCTGGATGGAGGATGTGTGAAGCTAGGACTAAGGATGTGATGCTAAGGGCTAAGAGTGTTCTGCCTGGGCTGTGAGTGCTATCTGCATTAAGGGCAGCTAGTGTGGATAGAGCAAGAGGCAGAAAAAGGCTGCCACTGTCACTTGCTACCTGCTACTTCACTGGGGGCTGCCTGTCTGCTTTGCCATGGAGTAGTTCTCCTCTACGATGCCCCTCTGTCCTGCCACCCTGCCTTGGAGCCAGATGACTATGGAATGAAATCTCTACAAAAAGTAAGCCAAAGTAAACCTGTCTTCCTTTAAGTTTGGATATTGGGTATTCTGTCTTAGCAACCAGAAAAGTTAACAAGAATTCATTTAAAATAACGATGGTTGAATTACATTAGCAAAGAAATTAAGCAAACTGGGATTATTTATGCTGCAGAGAAAAAGAATATTCAGAGTGTGTGGAGACAAGGGTTCGACAAGGACTTGACAATAGTCTTCAATTACTTCAAGGAGTCACTCATGAACTGAGGATGTAGCTCAGCATAATGATATTAACACTTATCTTTATGTGTGAGAGCCCAGCACTGCAAAAATAATTAAGAGGCCACCATCTGGAGAAGGTGTAGATCCAAAAGGTACAACAGATATTGTGAAAGAAATTATGCAAAAGGAAAGAACTGGGATGGAAGGAGAAAAGAGGAGAAATCTCCCCCGCCCCGAGATAGATAGATAGATAGATAGATAGATAGATAGATAGGTGATAGCTAAGATAACTGTGCTACTAATTTCTACTAGTTCACTGAACAAAGTACTGCTTACATTGTTTGATCAATTTTGCATGCCTTGTAATCTGAGCAAATACTTTGAAGAAAACAATATGCAATATAATAGCCATTGTTAGTTTCCTGTCTTATTTTGATAGTCTGTGTAACCAGTTTTCACTGTTTTTTTTTTTTTTTCTCTCCTTTAAAATAAAATTTTAAAAAAGCACACAAGGTGGCCCCATCACCTACTGTGCTACTCAATTCCAGGAGAGCTATTAAGTTTCTTTATCTAAGAAATGAAATCTACCTTATAAATATATAAAAATTAAAAGTAAAATCTTTATCGCCTGCTTGGTATAACCCCACACAAAACGCCAGCTCCCTTCCCTACATTTTGCTGAATGATTTTGGAACAATGTTTTTCAAAGTGAGAGCTACAACACATTAATGAGTGCAAAATTAGCTTCCTGAGTGGTAACTGGCAAATTTTTCCCTAAAGAAACACAACAGAAAACAATAGTATCAGACTTTTGTGAAACTTGTTTCAGTTACTCCTACATATGCATACCAGGTTATAATGTAAAATACTTTCATTTTATGAACCTTCTCTCCACCCCAGACACTAAAGTCAGAGCTGTAGAGGACTACTGCTTAAAAGTATTCTGTAAGAACTAGTTCCTCTGGGGCTGGTGAGATGGCTCAGTGGTCTAAAGCACCTACTTAGAACAAGCTTAGCAAAGCACAGGGACCTCGGTTCAATCCCCCAGCACCACATGCCAGCCAGCCCCACCCCCTGGTGGGCTGAGCTGGCCACACACACACACACACAATAAATAAATAAATAAATGTTAAAAAAAAAAAAAGAACTAGTTCCTCAAGAGCTCAATAAAGCTTAGGAAACACCTGGGCATGGTGGTACACACTTACCATCCCAGCACCCAGAAGGTTAAGAAAGGAGGACTGCAGCAAGTTGGAAGCTAGCCTAGGCCACACACAGTCCTTGTCTCAAAAACAAAACAAAAAAGTTTCAGATACAGACTATAACCCTTAGAGATTTATTATGTTTGGTATATACATCTGCATCTGCAAGAAGTCCAGCATTAAAGAAATCTGGTTTTTGTTGTTGTTATAACATTTCCCTCACACTTATCTGACCCCAGAATGCAGATTTTGTTTTTTTCCCCATGGTATCTACTGGAAACTTCAGGACTAGCACTTTTGTGGTACACACATTTTGGGGGAAACTATTACTCTGGTTGAAAAAAGAGGTGTAAAAGTGTAAGTCATGAAGGATTTTTATCTTCATAAGAAAAAAACTCGAGCTGGCCAAATCGCTCAGCAGATTAAAGCACCTGCAAGCAGGTGCTGGGGCCACAGGTTCAATCACCAGGCCTGCATGCCGGCTCTGCCCCCAGGGTGTGCTGAGATGGCCACTGAGACCGGGGGTGGTGGCCTGCACCTGTAATCCCAGCTCTTGGGAGGCTGTAAACAGGTGGATCACTACAAATCCAATCTAGTAGTGAGACCCTGAACACCCTGTAGACTCTTCCCTAAAATATAAAAAGAACTCGATCTATGCAATGTGTCACTGATATCTACCCGCTCCAAAGAACTTTAAATGATTTACCCAACTTTTAATTCACATAAATATTTTCAGAAAAAGCATAGGACATCTATTGTGTGCACATATAAAGCCAGATTAAAGTGGTAGGCAGCAACCATCTGGTCAAAAGAAACTCCTGGCATAGTATCTAAGATTTGATTTACCTTAAATAAATACAATGTTCAGAAACTAAAGAAGTCAAAGGTTTAATCAGCTTCTTCAAGTGAGGTCAATGTGTGCTAATAATACATAATCTAAAATGGGCTGATGAGCGCAGCTAGTCTTTATTATTATGCGTATCATTACCATCAGCACTTTGGAAGAGGCACATGTGGATATGGGATGATTCTGGGTTCTTTTAAAGTGCACACATACCCAGAATTCCTTTGGGAGGACGTGATTGCACACTTATATGAAGACCTGTCACTATCATAGTTCTAATAATACTTAGCATCACTTCATCATAAAATAAAGGCCTGACATCATATATTCACCAGTACTGCCATCATTCACACCTTCTCAACTCGGAGTTACAAATACTTCTTGTAGTCGTCAGTGCATAAAATGTTCTACCCATTTATTCCCACTCCCAGACTCCAAAGCTGCCTTCTGAAAGTTTGTCCCAACTACTGTGGGCCATTATTTTCTTTCCAGTTTCTGAACAATGTCAGTACTTTTAGTTAATTCTATCACACTTCCAGCAATTCACCGTATACATCCTACCCTACTTAACTGCATAAAACTTAAGTTCTTAACATGACCACAACTGCCTTGTGAACACACATATACATTTAAGTATCTCCCCTGACAGTGTGTAAGAGCTATGTACATCTTTTTTTTTTGGCGTAACCTGGGATTGAACTCAGATCCTTGCGTTTGCCAGTCAAGCACTTATCCTACTGAGCCATCTCCCCCGCCCCCTTTTAAACACTTTTTTTTTTTTTTTTTTTTTTTTTTTTTGAGCTAAGTACATCTAGACTTAAACAACTAGGCTTACAAGTAACAGCAGCCAGTTTTGGAGAATGTATTATATGCCACTCTCCCTGCTAAAAGTATATACAGATGATCTCAACATTTACAACTTTATAGAGGTAATAACTATAAATTTCTCCATCAAATCAAAGCAAACAGTGAAACTTAAAATGAGTGGCAAGTGAATAGAAGCAAAAGCTCAGAACTTCTAAATTCCAGCCCTCTAATAGCAATCTATAAAGAATTTCCATTTCACTAAATTAAAAGCTTGTTCCAATAAATAGAAACGTTTTAGCTAATGTTAAAACTTTAAATAGGATAAGAGAATGAGAATTTCATGCAGACATCTTTACTAAGTCTCAACAAAATAAAAGAGAAAAAGTGTATGTCCCTATTTATGTGTGTTGTATTAAGATACGGGTCACAATTTCATCAAAAAGTAGTTTACTTCAGTACAGTTTTGGTTTAGGTTTTTTAATACCCTCCCCAAAGGATGACAGGGAAAATGAAAGATGTTTTTGATAACTGTAGCTCCAAAGCTCCGAAAAACACCAGGTCCAATTCATGTTTAAAAAAAAAAAAGAACCAGGGTTCATGACTCTTCACACAAAGCCCCAGCATTCTCTGCCCTCTTCACACAAAGCAAGCTTTACCCCTCTACCCAAAGAGGAGAGCGGATTCACACAGCCTCTCCATCCTCAGCAGAAATACACCCGTACCATTCTGGTCCGAAACACTGACCGCTGCACCGACAACTCTTGAATGTCCCCACCCCCACCCCGCACCCGGTGGCACCTCATCAAGCAGACCCCTCCCGACATCCAAAATGCCCAAGCCATCATTCGAAAGCTAGTACTTCACACAAAGCACGATCACTGCCTGCGAGGCAGTTTTCCATCTCTTGACTCCTCCGTGCTTGAAGACCTTCTCAAGCTGTGCCAATTCACAGATCCTAAGCTAGTACCGCAACCCGACAGTCCCCGACCCCGACGAGAACTAGCTACACCCCCTTATCCTTCCGCAAACAACTCCCCAGTTCCATCTGACCTTCCCGTGGTCAAAGCGCGAAACTCGCCAGTCCCCGCCAGAGCCGATCGTGCTACACAAAAGCCCGCCGCCCTTCCCGGGGACCCCGGCGGGGCGCCCCGCTCCCGACCCGCCCGGCCTGGCCCGCGCTCACCAGCTCTCCTCCTCCTCCTCCCAGCCGGACAGGCGCTCCAGCTCGTCGGGACGCAGTGGCTCCACCTCGTCCAGCAGGCCGCCCTCGCCCGCCGCCAGCAAGGAGGTGGCGTCCCGCAGCTCCTCGCCGCCCGTGCGCCTCGGGCCCGACCCGGCCCCGCCGCCCGCCTTGGCGCAGAGGCCCAAGGGGAAGCCGCGCGGGGACGCCGCGCCCGAGGACGGGGTGGACACGGCCCGCCCCGGGCTGCCGGGCCCGAGGGAGCCCGCGCCCTGCACGGCCCCCGAGCGGCTCCTCAACTGCTCGTTCTGCTTCTCCAGCTTCTTCACCAGCTCCTGCAGCTTCCGCACCTCCTGGTCCGCGTTCACGTTGGAGTTAACGTCCTCCATCCCGGCCCCGCCGCCCGCCGCCGGCTCGGACTCACAGCGACAGCGAAAGAGCCGGACGAAAGAGGAGCCGCCGCCGCCGCCAACGCTCACTCCAGCCGAGGCGCCGTCATAGAGCAGGGCCAGGCCCCGCCACCAGGGTCCCCCCAGCTCGGGTTCCAACGCGCCGCTGGCCCCAGCCGAGCCGCCTCATCTGCGCCGGCTCCGGGATTGGGGGAGGCGGCGCCAACATCCGGCCGCTGCCGCCATCTTCCCTCCGTCCCTCCGCCCCCCGCGGTTCGGCCCCGTCGGTGACCTCAGCGCGTCGGGTGGATGCGGCCGCCCGTGGGCGCTGAGAGGACCCAAAGTCTAGCAGGCTGCGGGGGTGTGGGCGGGGTCGGGCCGCGAGCGCGGGGCGGGGCGGGGCCTGGGCCGGAAGGGGCGGTGCTGGCGCGGAGGCGGGGCCGGGAGAGCCGCTCTCGCCTCCTCCCCCCGCCAGGTTTTATATGGGCGGGGGTTCAACCCGACTCGGCTGGGCGCCGCGGGTAGGTGTTAAACGACGGGTGTGTCGCGTGTTCTCCAGCCCCAAACGAGGCTGTCGCCTTTCGCGGACCTGCCCTGCCCCCACTCGGGCCAGGGTGCGGGTGGGCGCTCTTACTCCTCAATAAGTCCTGTGCTTAGTTGGTGTTCTCTTGAAATCGGAGATTGTTAACCCTGGCAGAGCCCCAGAGATTCTTTTCTTCCCCTCAACATGAATCCGAACCCAAACGGTTAATGTCCTCAGTGGTTAACTTCTCAGTCTACGATCAAAATAATAACCATAATTTGCTTACTACTGGCCAGACACTGTGCTAAGCACATTCAGGGCATTAGCTCATCGGTTAAAACACAGTTTTTCTGACTTGAAGTTTACCGCACAGTGGCACGGAAGCCGGTCGTAAAAATCCGGTTGTCTCTTTGCCTTTCAGCCTTAACTGATGAGCATACTGCTCTTTGGATCACTTTCTGCGGTAAACCTTTTTCGTAGTGGGTCTTCACTGTTTCAAAAGTTGTTCATAGATAACGTACGATGTAGAGAGGTATATTGAATGGAAGTCTTCGTGTTGCCCTTTTTTTAATGCATACTGGTGGCAGCAAAACCAAGCTCAGATGTTTTATTTCTGTCATGTTCTCCTGCGCCTCAGGAATCGGTCGTGAACTCCCTGCTTTAGGTTTCCAGCATTTCTCCAATTGCTGCCTCCGCCCTTACCTGACAGGGAGCCAGTCCTGTTACACCTGGGTGTGGGCTCTTGGGGCAGATCTATTAACTTCGACTTTTACCTTTCTCTGCGCTGTATTTTCCTCATATAGAATATCCAGTCTACCAAATCTGATTCCTTTTCTTAAAAACTATGTTTATCCAGGAAAATTCTTCCTAACAGTTGTACAAAGGGCTATTCTGTTTATTCTGGTATTATCTGATCAGTTGTTCTCTATAAATGTTTGCATCTTTTTAAAAAAAAAAAAAGAATGTTTTTCTAGGAACTTTTTATTTTTGTTCGTCGAAAGAAACCATGCTTGCTTGCTAGGTCTGCTACAATAGACATTATAGTACCTGGTTTGTTGAAAATTGAAGAGAATATAAGTTTTGATTGGTTAAAGACCAGATATTTATTCATAGAAAAAAAACACTGTAGCAGGCCAGCCAAATAGCTCAGCAGATTAAAGCGCCTGCAAGCAGAAGCTGGGGCTAGGGCTTGTTTCCTGGGCCTGCAGTGCTGGCCCACCCCTGGGTGAGACTGGGCATGGTGGCTCACGCCTGTAATCCCAGCACTTGGGAGGCTGTAAACAGGAGAATCACTATGAGTCCAATCTAATAGGGAGAACCTGAACACCCTGAAGACACTTTTCTAAAATACAGGGGGGAAAAAAACACTGTAGTATATTAAAATTTGCCATCTAGTATTTTTCTAGCTATGCAGACCCAGTTAAAGGATCTTTGTTTTGCTAACCTGCAATAATTGTGAGGTACTATGTATTATCAATACAGTGAACATCCAAATGTCATTTCTAACATATCTGAACCTGTTGCCTAGAAGATTGAACAACATAACTACTTCACATATATCAGTTTTCACTTGCACTTTATGGCATGAGATATGAATTCCAACTACCTAGTTTTTATAAGAAAAACCTTTCAAGGGCTGGCCAGATAGCTCAGCGGACTTAGGCAGAGCACAGCTCCCAGGTTAGATACCTGCTTGTGTTGCCGGCCCCACCCCCGGGGCACACTGAGATGGCCATTGAGACAGGGCGTGGTGGCACACACCTGCAATCCCAGCGCTTGAGAGGCTGTAAACAGGCAGATCACTACAAGTCCAATCTAGTAGTGAGACCATGAACACCTGGTAGATCGTTCCTCAAAATACAATAAATAAATTAAATTAAATTAAATTTTATAACTCAAGAAGTGGTGTAATGCAGAACAATGAACTGTGGATCAGAAAGCCTGATGGCAGATATTAGCTGCACCATAAATGTGTTTGACCTTGATTTCTAGTCCCTTATGTCTGACTCTTACCATTTTGCAGCATACATGAACTGAATGATTGATATTTCATCCAGTTCCAAAAAGTAAAAAAAATAAATAATCTAGCTCATCATCATGGTTACAAAACATAAATGCAAATATGCAAACAAAAACTTGGATTTTTTTTTATCCAGTTGCCTTTCTCTATGTCATTAATTTTTTACACAGTGAACATTGAATGTCTACTATATTGTAGGCTCTTAGATATCTTACATACTCCTTAAGGTTAAATTTGAATTTGCAACTCACACAGACACATACATACTGCTCCTACATGCCTTTAAATATGCTTTCCCTATAGCACATAATTTGGTAAATGACAGCCCTTTGCTTTGAGATTCTCAGGCTAAAATACTTGGGATAATCCTTATCCTTTTCTTTCTTCTTGAGACAAGAGTCTTGCTATATATTTCAGGCTGGCCTTGAACTTGAAGTGATCTTCCTGCCTCAACCTCCTGACTGCTATGATTATATGTGTGCCCAGCTGTGCCCCTTTCCTTCACCAAATCCATTCCTTGAGTAGGCCATGTTGGCTGCACATTCAAAATACGTCAGAAATACTTCACAGCACCTCTACTGCTATCACTGTAGTTCAAGCTGCCATCTTCTCTTGTGTAGATCACTGTGGTACTCTTAATAGTCTCTTCCCCTCCTGTGGATAGAGCAACCAGATGATACTTTGTATAAGGAACTTTAGGTTGCTACCCTGCTCAAAAGCCTTCCCAGAAGTTGCTTGCGAACATCTACAGTCCTTTCATTAGCTGTACAGCTCTGGACATGTGGTAACTTCTGCAAGTGCAGACGTCATTAGCTCCAAGTTTTCTACTCCCTCACTCTATACTTCCACGCTGGCTTTCCTGATGTTCTTCAAACAAACCAAGCAGCTTCCTACTGCAGGAACTTTGCCCTTGCTGTTCTGTGGATTGGTTATTGCTCCACGCTGCCACAGGAATTACTGCTCAAGTATCTCCTAGGTTTATCGTCCTTAAGATTACTATCTTCATAAAATAACATCCCTGTCATGTCCACTTTCTTATCCTTTTTCATAGATGTTTTTCTTTTTTGCTTGTCACCTGTCGCCTCAGGTAGAATGTGAATTGCACAACAGCAGGGCTCACTGCTGTATCTCCATGCCCCAGGACAGCACCTAGTATATAGCAGGTGTCTAGTAATTGCAAAAAGAATGGATTAGGCCAAATGAAGTCTCCTAAAATAGTACTTTAGATCAAATCTATTGGATTGTGAAAGTGGAAATTCCCAGGCATTTTAAATGGTTAGTGCTTTAAGTTACGTTTTCCTCTTCCAAAAGAGCAACATGCCATGCTGCATCTATCATCCTCCAAACTAGGTCGTCTCCACCTCCTGAGTGCCAACACTCTTACAAAGTGCTGAGAAAATAGTCTCAGATTCTCACTGGATGAAAAGTATTTCATTCTTTTCTGCAGTCCACAAGGATCTTCCTCTTTCAGATGAATTACAACACTTTGTCTTCTCGGGTGACTCAGAAATGTAAGCACAGATTTTAAAAGTCACTCTTAATGTGTCTCCTAGGCAGATACAAGGAATAAAGCTAGTACGTATCCAAGCTATATATCAGAGTGAGCCCAGCCAGCTTTTCAGGTGTCCTCTCTTATGATAAGCATGCTTGGTTGATGATATAATTGTTTCTTTTCTTAACAGGTGTGGCCTTTTCTGTAACATGCTTCTACTTGCATGTTCGCTCTTAATGAAACTCTTGAGAAAGTGGAAAATATTACATGTTACTGAAAGTATTTAGAGCAAAAACTATTACTTAGTGGCATAAAGGCATTTAGGAGTCCTAAAGTCCTAAAAATTACTAAGAAATGACAATTTTTCCCGAGAAGAATTAATATTTGAGCCAAGGGCTTCATACAAGGGCTCAACTTCGGATTGAAAACTTCTCCAGTTTGCATTAGTCAAAATTGACCGTGGTGGCAGGCATGACTTCCTCCTGGAGGCCTGCTAACCAGAGTGGGCCACTACATTTGGGGCATCATAATATATTGATAGAGGTGTGAGAAGCCCATAATCAAAGCAGAGGTAAACTTGTCCTTAAAAAGATTCTGCAGAAAGATTCTTTATGTTCATTATTCTTGTTATGTAGGCAAATTCATGTGGGCTCTGGAAGTTTAATTCTGTAAATACCCAAGTCTTTCTATATTGACCCAGTAATAATAATAATAATAATAATAATAATAACTAGCAATTATTGATCACTTTTAAAAATCCACATGATGCTAAGCAGCTTGGAAGTAGCTGCTTATCATCATGTCCATTTTACACATGAAGAAATGGAGATACCAGGAGATTAAATAAAGATGAAATAAGAAACCATAGCAGAAAGAGGTAGGATTGGAACCCAGCTGATCTGACTTCAGAATTTGTATTCATAATCCCCTATGGATAATGACCATGATGAGCTCACCATTTGTTTACTTAGCAGTATTGATATCTGAGCTAATATCTGGGGTGGGGCTGGAGGGGGACACTGTGGAGAACTTAAGTGTCAGTATCTTTTTGATACCCAACAATTCAGTCTTCTTGCTGGGAGAGTAGTTTTTCCAACTTTTATGTCTCAATACCTCTAGAAACCAGTATGTTGAAACAATTAGGCCTTTAGAGGGAGGTTTAATTCTTCTCTTACTCAAAAGACTCACTAGAAGGTCATTTACTTTGGCAGCACTCCAAGTACTTGCAAGATAGAAGACTGGAAGACCTATCTGTCAGCAGTTGGGTAAAATGAGTTTTGACATCTGAGCTTCTCATTGGAAAGGCTGGTGAACTAGTCCAG